TAAACTAACTACTTCTTCTTCTTCTTCTTCTTCTTCTTCAAAAAAAGAAAGAAAGAAAGAAAGAAAGAAAGAAAGAAAGAAAGAAAAGAAAAGAAAAAGAAAAGTCAGAAGCATCACTGCGAATCGATCGATCGAACGCGTCTACGGGACAATCGCTGCTAATTATTCTCTTCGCATATTATTTCGCCCGCTGTTCCTTCATTACTAATCACGGCGTGGGATCACAGAGTTCAATTTGAAATGAATTTATCATACATCGAGTATCATAAGAAAGCGGAAATAGAGGAAACTCATGGGAGGACGTAATGTTTTTAAAGCGACAGAAACAGACGGTTCGATACGATCAATTTGTTCGAGCGCACGGCGAAGTACAGTAGAGGGAACACCTAGGACCAAGAGTTCCGGTAGATCGAGCTGCGCATATTGGATGAGCGTAGCTGCCGCTACATTGGTGATTCTACTAGCAATATTACTTGCCTTGGAGCCACGAACGTTCCAACGTGCCATCTACATCCTCTCTTACAATATCCCGAGGCAAGCCGGGTACGGATTTACCCTTCATTTTATTTATCTTTTTTTTTTTTTCCTTTTCATCAGGAAATTAAAGATTTGGAAAGATTTATTCCCATGCCCAAAATTTGTCGGTCAGGCTTTTTAATCAGGTTAAATTAAACCTCGCGACGAGCGCGAACAAAAAAGAAGAGAAAAAAAAACACCAGTTCTTTTTTTTACACATCTCTAGACACATGGAAAACAAGAATGGGTATATATACGTAGATATATATTTTTAAAGTATGCACAGTCCCAGAGAAAAGTTTAGACGATTCAAAATGCAATGTATTTAATAAGATATGCGATAACAAAGCAATAAACGATACGAAATATAATATAATAGGTAACACGATTTAATTAATACTAATTTTAGAAGAATTCTTTTTTCTAGACGAATAACAATACAACGATTAAAAAACTAATTTTCCACTCTATTATATATATATATATATATATATACATTGGTTTAGCTTCTAATATCTTAGAGCATGTAACTGCAAAGCGAAATTTTGTTCACGTAGGTATTTCTTCGAGAATCTAGCATCGTATGGTAATTTACGAGAACAGGTAACGGAAACAAATACATAAATTTTCAAAAGATTCGTATGCAAGCTTTCTTTTTCTGACATTGTATGTCGATTGATCGTGATACCGACGTATCGTATGTACTGCATGATCTTTACAATATTATACGACACCTCCGCATGATCTTTATTGCATTTTTTTTTTTTTTTCTTACTTATATAAAAATCTTTCAAGTTTGTCTCTTGCCCATTTCTTCTCTACAAGGCAATAATTCCACGATATCTTCCCCCACCCCTCTTTTTCAATAGCGTTTCTTTTTTTTTTTTTTTTCCTTACGCCTGGTGCACGTATACTCCACCTTCACCTCCCCCCCCCCCTCTCCCCTCAACTATTACAGAGAGCCCGAACAACTAACTAGAGCTCGAATTACCACAATTAATTTTAATGCGTCCTCATAGTTTCTCACTATTTACCCTTTCTAGCTCTTCTGACTCAATAAGCAACTCAAGATAAAGCTAAAGTGTAGAGGGACCAACAAATCGTATTTTTTTAGTCACGTTAGGATTGTTAGGCGAATCGTCATGTAAGTAGCCTTTATCTATGTACACGTGCGTGTGTGAACACGAAAACAACCCATTTTTCACACCTTCATACAAGAAAAGAAAAAAAAGAAAGAAAGAAAAAGAAAAAGAAAAAAAACATTCGCTCGACAGTTCAACGAATCAACAGTTCGAATCACCGCTTCGAAAGGTGCATCGATCCCGAGTACGAGTATCGATGCAGCTTGTCAGTGCAGAATGCATACATTAGAGTTAGAGATTCTTTTGATATCCCGCGCGAGACTGGAAACGCTCCACCAACCTTTTTTTCTTTGTGTTTAGAATTTGCAATGATGTGACTCGCTAATAATGGCCGAACGATCGCGCACAATCGTGCATCGTTCCCCGTACAAAGCACCTCGGATGTGATCCTGTGCAACACCACCGTCTCTTAATCCTCAACTTTTCTTCCGATCAGAAATATTTTTTCTTTCGCAATTATATCATTAATAATTGCATCCTTCCTTCATCTTTATCTTTCTTTCCAGCTAACGAGCTGATTCTCTAGTTTTTGAAAAAATTTTAAACACTTGTTATATATGGTATATTAAAAAAATAATATGCAAGAATTTTAAAGAAAGAAAACATTTGTTTTAAGAAAACAAATGAGCGTATGTTGTTCAATTTTTTCGGTATCGAATGATAGATCAATATGTTAAATTTAGAAAGATTACTTTTACAAGATCGCTTTTCAATATTTATAAAGGTGGAAATTAAAAGCGTTTGTTTGGACGGGAGAAGGAAAGAAGAAAGTTCGGAAGAAAAGTGCAGGAAGAACGCATACGAGAATGCGCACAAAATCGTTCTCCCTTTTCTTTCCATCTGTCCAAGGAAAGCTGATATATCCAAAACCTTAATTAATTAATATACTTGCAAATAATAATACTTGACCGTTCGTCTAACAACACTAACTGATAGTAGTTAGTACGCGCCCCTTTAAACTTGTTGCCACTATATATGCAGGGTGTTTCAAAGAGCTACGGTCAAAACCAGAGAGCGTTTTCCTCGGTCGAAAATTGTAAGTACGATAAAGCTGTTGCTAAAACGATTGAAGCTCGAACTGTCGAGAAATAATTTTGTATAATTTGTTGAACATATTTTGCTTTATTTTTATTCCATTTCCATAGCCGTTGAATTTCGAATTATTATTATTGATTGATTCTTCTTTGATTTCTCGTTCGAAATATTTTCTTTAGCGAATTCTTTACAGTAAAAATAAAATAAATAAACGAATAAGTAAAAAGTAAATATATATATATCATTTTCGTCTGAGAAATTTGTTCGAACATAGCGTGTATTGATGTAGTATTTTTTTTTTTTTTTTCGTATCTTGTTTCATGACGATTATTATTATTATTAATTAATTAAGTAGCATTGATCCTTTAGGGTAGCGATTTGATCGACACTCGAATAGAATCGAATTAGAACGTTATTACGAATTAGACATCCCTATTACGAACGTTCTTACTTATTTTCCACCGAAGAAATCCCCCCCCTTTCAGTTTTCACCGTAGTAAAATTCTTCTGTTGTATCAAAAAATTTTAGATATTTATATATCTTACAACTAACTGCTAAACGCTTTATTATTCAGTAGCTTTTATCAGCGCTTCACACGAGCTCGCTGCGTGCAGCACAGTCCTGCTTACAAGAAAGGTTTCTTTCTTTTCATTTTGCTTCATTAGCGAAACTTGAAAGAATTCTGAAGTAATTGAATCGAAGTGACGATATGCTTTATTTGTAAAATTTTATTTTCTTTTCTTTTTTTTTTTTTCAATATATTTGTGCAAACAAATATACCTATTTTTGTGCAATAAAATAATCAATTCATAAAATATAATTACGTATAGATTATATTTAAATTAATTTATATTTTGTTCGATTTTTATGTATATAATTAAATTTGTTCGATATGTAATATGATTTTTTAATAATTTATCAAGTTCCACGATATTTTGTTACATGATTACAATCGATTACAGTTATTTTCTCCCTATTTATTTTTTAGATTTTAATATTTTTTATAGATAAGATTCATTCAAAGAATTCGAAACCTTTCTTGTGAGAATTATTTTAAACGTGCCTCAATAAATATATCGTACTTAATGATTAAAAATTAATCGATATAGAGTCTCGAGCGCTGCTATTAGTGCATATAGAATTGAAATTACACGTGAGAAAATCGAGATTCGAGAAAGAAACTTAAATCAAAATTAAGATTTAATAATCGTAGATCGCATGCACAAAGAATTCATAATCGAGCATAGGGAGTCGAATATTATATATATATATATTTTCAAATATAACACGTATCCATGATATACTATTCACTTCCTGTGGCAGACATTATGAAATAAAACATCGTTAAACACGACCATTAAATAAACACGTAAAATATTATTAACGAATCGTCGAGATTAATATATAGTATATACGCGAAATGTAAGAAAAGCGGTTGCATAGTTGGCTGATATGAAAATGCGTATTATATATTATATATCGTCAAATGTATAGCGATGTTGTTACTTTTTTTATATGTGTCTAGTATTACCCCTTGTTTTGGGCATGATGTAACATTGACAGAATATACGATTGATACTTGTATCTATGTGAACCGCTGTAATAGTAAGAATTTTGTATATCACATGGAAGGAATCAATTTTGATCAATTTTCATTTGTTCACGCAGAATCTGACTTTTTGCAACTTAGCGAGCCATCCTACATGGAAACGACAACGACAGAAGAGGACCCTGAAACTCAGGAAGGTATTTTTTATTGGGGAAAAAAAAAAATATTAAAAGCATAAAACATATGTAATATTTACAAATATTATTTTTTACAGAGTAACGAGAACTGTTCAAGTAATTACAACAACGAGTGGAACCGCCAGTGGTCCAGACGAATTGCGAGAGTCCATGCAAAAGATCGTCGATAGATTCATGATGGAGGAAAGGCGAGATCAGTGAAGCATGAAGAGGTCTCATGGGCGATTATGAAAAATAGAGAGAATTGAATTTTTCGCCATTTAATAATCGTGCATAATAAAAAGAAAGAGAGAGAGAGAGAGAGAGAGAGAGAGAGAGAGAGAGAAGAAATAGTTAATAATAA